TGCCACAAATTTACAACAATTTCAAAATTTTTAGCAATACTGTCCATATTAATTAAAGCAGGAGCAAATATAATGGAAACTAACTTTTTCTTGCTTTATTCAGCCAACATTAGGCATCTATTCTATCAGGTATCATCCCAATGGAACAAAGATTTAGTAATTTCAGTGATCAGGTGACTTTTTCCAAGTATAAGTAGATAGACAAGGATGGTAGTGGGGCTATGGATGGCCTGGAGTAAGGAACGTAAAGGGGGAGAAAGTTTCTTCTGCAACATTCTTTATATTCTTTGAATCTGGAACCTACTAAAATGTAAACTAACTTGTTTTTTACCTTGGCCTTTGTCTATGGACACTTTTAAAGGAGAAAAATAACCTGATTTAAAAATGGAAGGGCTCAAATTTTCCAAGACTGTGAAAATTTATTCTGTCCTCTAAGACTTCGTAACCACCCTAGCAGTCTGTCTCAGCTCTGGTTACACTGGACCACAGACCGCTCATGTCCCTTTCAGTGTTAGTCCCTGTGAATCAATCAGTTCCTGTTTAGCAAATCTTGCACCTCTCTTTGATAAACTTTTCCAGGTAAGTTCCTTTCTGCTGAGACTGAGATTCTCATCTGAATTATCCTTTTCACTGCTGTAAGACTGGAGAATTTACTGAATAATGTCAGTTTAATGTGCAAGGTAGGATTCAGCACCCTTATTGAAATGACATGGATTTATAAATTTTGTTTATGTTTTGAACCACTTTGCTCTTTCAGTTTAGCCAGGCTTTCTTCTGAATCAAGAAGAAACATATGAAGGAATGGTCATGACTGAATCATAGACTGTTAATTCTGCAGATAGTGTCTGCTAGATGCAAAGTGGTCTTTATGTGCATTGGTTTTGGAGAACCAGATTAGATAAAATAACAAATCATGTCTGATATCTATTTTACCCATTGCCTCAAGGAAATGATGACTCATGTATTAGAGACTCAGTACACAGAAAGGGGCAAAGTACCAAACTCTACATACTTAAAAGAGCCAAGTAGTTGAAGTGGCATGTTGTCACACACTGATGCAGAGATTTGTCGAAACTAAGTACTTTACTAGTAGCTCACACTTCAACATGATGAGACAGTGTTTCTAATCCATGCTATACATTCTAAGAGTTTTGTTTGTTTTTTTTTTTTTTTCTTGTGGAGTGAAAGGTGAGTATCTGATGATACTAGAGATTCTTCATGTGATTAGAAATGTGGCTGCAGTGACACAGAGTCTGACAAGAGGCATCCTCATCGAAGACTTCCCAAAGTGCTTCAGTGCAACCGGGAGTATGAACTCTAGGAGGCAGTTAGTTTTCTGCAACAACTCACTCTTAGTTTCTCTTTCTGACCTTAAAGGCACTTGAAGTCCAGGGTAGTTTTCATGCTGATTTATCAGACTGGCTCAGGCTCTCAGTCTCAGGATTATCCTGCCTAATTTATAGTATCTAAGACTCCTGATTTAAGGACCACGATCATCCCAGCCTGCCTTTTATAGTCAATGCACACCTGCCTACATATGTTGATATTGCTAGTAGGATGGATTGCTCTCTGCAGTTGTTTCTCTCTCTGTTGACTCTAGGAAGACAGGGTGAGCAGGCTCTTAATTAGGTAGCACAGGTGCCTAAAACTAAATTGGTTGAAATTGGACCTCATATGGACAAAACAACTATTCCTTTAAAGATATTACATAAGCCAAAACATGAATTATAAAATAATAAATATGTATTTATCTAAAGTAATTTTTAAAAGTTTTTATTTACCATTTCATTGATGGGTAATATATCACTAATTGAAAGAGGAATTCCCAGAGCTTAATATGACTAATACATAGTTTAATAGAATTAATCTTTTATATAATATCCTGTACATCAAGAAAAACATATATAATTACTAAATCAGTATTTGTTGGTTTAGAGCAGATAAAGTACAGATATCTGAGATCAAATCAGCTCCTTCTTTGGAAGAATGTGAGGTTGTCTTGAGGCGATTCCAAGTACTGACTTAATCTCAATTTAAGAAAAAAAGAAACCACACTGCTGATAGCTCTGCCTTCCTTTTCCATCCACTGAATCTGTAACAAATGCATAAAAAAATCTTTTTCACAGAAATAAGGGTCTTTTTTTAGGTTAATGATGGCCATACTAACTCTCAGGTTGGCTTCAGAATTTAAAAGAAATGATGTATATTGTGCAGTTCCCCCACAGTATGTCTTAATCCTTGACCAGTGAGGTCATTTTTTAACATCCAGAGCAATCCATCTTTCTACACAGAAAGAAGGACGACCAGCACTTGCACTGCAGAGTGACCTGAGCCTATTTTAGCAAAAAGCCAGAAAGATGACTTTTTGTCTTTGGAAAATTATGCCCATATCAAAAGCCTCCCACTTATTCTGTCTGGCCCATAGTACAAAAAGCAGCTAGATTTAGCCAAATCTATGAATGCAAGAAAACTGCAGACTATGGCTATACATATTTGTGTTAATTACATGTTAGACAAAAGCATTATTTTTTAATTTGCATTATAGAATCAAATATTTTTTTTCTCTATGACACATTCTTCATCTCGTGACCCAGTTCTTTAGTGGGGCTGTGATCAGCACTCCATAAATCCTTACACCAGACCTTTTCTACTTAGAAGATCTAGGGAATGTTCCCTCCACTGAAAAAACCCACCTCAAAACAAAACCACAAAACCCCAAATCTCTCTTGCGCAGACTCAGAAGCACTCAGACCATCAAACAAACAAGACATGAGGTAGAAGAGGCAGACGCGTCAAATATTCTGCTAGCAATAACCAGAGGGGGTTTTGGAAGAAACTTTTGTATTTTGAAGAGTAAGTAATTTTGGTTCCTATAAATAAAAAAAAAAGATAAGAAGCCCTTTGCATTGTTTGACCAAATGGTAGATAAATATATGGGTTTTTTTAATGGAAGATATTCTTACTAATCCAGAAGGGGGAAAATAGCATACATTCAGCAACCACTTATTTCTGCATTATTTTATACATTTATATTGAGTGTACAAAAATATTAGTATAAGAATGCAGGAACTGTGAAATCATCTTATAGGCTAAAGAGTAAAGAAAAAAAAAAGTCAATGTATAGCTGAATCTTGAAGTTAAGGCTTACGAGGTGGCTTTAAATATTTGTAGTGTTCCTTCTTCTCAAGAGGAAAGACCTAATACTAGAGGATTTAGGAAGAGGGGATGTACATTCAGTCTGTAAAGAAACATCTTGGTTTCAGATGTTCTAAATACTTCTAAAACTATTAAAGAAAAAAAATAAACGCATTAATATAAACTTATGCATCACTGCTGTTATCTTCTTTAATCCTTAGAGAGTTCTTTCTGCTCGTGACTACAGAAACAGTTAAGAAAGAGCTCATACGAGCGTCCATTGTGTATTCCTCTTTGTACCATTTTCTTCTTTTTCTACATTTACTAGGATTTATTTTCTTTGCTTGAAAATAGCATTTTTGTCTCATTGAAGACCCTGCTTAAAGTCATAATGCTCCCTGCCACATCACACCAATCTCTTGGTGGATAGTTATGATGTCACAGGCAGGATTTTGACTTCAGAAGAACTGATAATTTAGGTACACTTTATGTACCAGAATTTAGGCTTTCTGCAATGTACAAAGTAAGGAATACCGCAGTCAGACAAGGTGCAAGCTGTCAAAGTTTGAGATCCTGGTTATCACTTCTCAGTAGTATATTAATGGACTTTCTGTTAGAACAAGAAGGTAAGAGAGTATACTCTCTCTTTTCCTTCCAAAATACCTGTTTTTCTCTGAAAGACACCTCTCTGATAGACAGGCTGTCCACAAAAATTTAAGGTGAGGTGATAATTTTTCCAAATAGTCAATTGGTGTCAGAAAAGACTTTGAACCTGGACTGGTTTCAGAGGTCTGATTTATAACAGACACAATGTTATAACAGTACTTGATACCCACTTGGCCAAATGTATAGGGTTTGTTTGGGTTCTTTCTCCATTTCCTGATGAAATGTATAAGTCTCTGAAACAATCTGAATCCAAGTGATTCTTTAATGGAACTCATTCTCATCTCGGGAGGGGGGATGGGGGTGGGGAACTGTTGCAAGTGAAGAACTCTATTCTGGAAAATCTGCAAAGAAAAAAACAACTGAAAGCAGTAACTGTTTTCTGTAAAGCTAGGCAAATTAAAAAATAAGAGCAGTTATTGATTACAAAAAGAACATATAGCTGAAAATGAAACCTCATTTGATTATTTTTCAGGAAAGGAAGTCCTGCATTATTGTCTCAGTGCCAAGCTGACAGGACCATAAATTGGGTTTTATTAATTGCTACAGGACTGTCTTTTTGTAGCACAAAAAAGCCCTAATCTTTTGTATGGCAGAAGAAAATCTACATCATTGGAAGTTTAATAGCTACAGTTGACCAATTAATTTCAAATTAATGGATTAATTAATAGGATATAATGCACATTTGAGCTAGGAAAAAAAAAAAAAAAAAACCAAACCAAAAAACACCCAATAAACTATTTCAGTAAAACTACAGAAAGTATCCTTTATTTTAACGCGGTATTTTTTCCACATGATCTGATGTATATGATCGATCACCATCACAAGTTTTCCTAAGCTAGGAGTTTTTACACATTTAAACGTTTTTAAAGCTTTTTTTCTCCAGACTTCAAGTATTTCTTACAGGAACAGCTTAGAGACTGCAGTATGGATAATGTTCATCTTTTTCATGGGAACTTGCACAGAAGCTAATATATATTGAACATATTATTAAAATATAGAAAAGAGTTACCTCTCAAGTTTCAGTATATATTTGGTTTATTTTTGTTTCGAGTTTCTTTAGCATATGCCTAAAATAGGTTATCGGAGTGGGATGTTGGGTCAGAAGATCTTCAAGTATAAAGGAACCTATTTGCTTCATGATTCCTTCGGAAGGCTCCTATTACTAAGCCGAAGCAATCGTAAATTAGAAGGAGGAATACCTTCTGTTATCTTGATGCAAGCTCTGTGAAGAAGACACCGGGTGTTTTCAGAATCTTAATTCAAACCCACAGATAGTTCCTTGCGTTTATCGGGGCTCTGAGCTCGGCACGCAGAGCTGGAGGAACGGCGTGCCCCCTTCCCCGGAGACGCACCGCTGCTGCGAGCCACTCCGGAGTTCTCGCTGCGATATCCAAACGGCTCTTACCAGCTTCGGGGAAGGCGAGAGCTGGGGCGAGCATGGGAGCCTTTTCCTCCTCCTCTCCTTTCCGCTCCCGTGCAAAGCCGCCCCCTTTTTCCCGTCGCTAGATGGCGCGGGGCTGACGGGAAGCGAGCGCCCCGCCGGGCTGCCGCTGCGGGGTCGG